CTGTTAACCTGCAGGACACAGGCTGTTTGCAGTGGTACAGTATGATATGTGGGTGTGGGGGAGCCACTATATTGCTTGTACATAGAAGCAATAGATGGAAATGCAGATGAGGTGACTGAAGTTTTACTATGCTCTTGATGAGACAAGAACAAGAGAACTGAAGGAAAGAAAGTTTTGGAAAGAATCCGTGCAATAAAGAAGACTGAAAACAAACTATGTGGTGGGATTTGTGGCCTTATTTGGATCCTTATAAAAACTAAGAGAGTAAGCTCTTTATCAAATAAAAATTAAGATTACTTGATTACTGTGAATACATTCATCCATGTAAAGAACCCACAGTATTTTCTCCAAATGAATTATGAATGGCAGAGCAAGTACCAGTGCTGATGAGTGCCAGGTGGAAGCTGATACTAGATAAATAAAACTGAATTGGTTTTCAAATGTTGTGTTTGTAAGTGAGGTTGACTTCCCATGGGAAAACATAGATGGAAATTGTTTTGGCCTTGGTCTACAAATTTATGGAGAGGAAAACTTTCAGGAAAGAGATGTGTTAAGGAAATGATCCAGAAGAATGTGAATACTGATTTTTAGGAAGCTGGAGGAGTCCTATAGGAGAAGGGCTTCAGGAGAGCCCAGCTGACAGTAGTTTTGTTGTCTGAACAGCACTTTCAACATTAAATTCAACCACAGCAGGTTGAAGCTTCAGCAATTTACCAATTGTAGACTTAATCCTCTGGTTTATGGAAGGGTGAGGGAAGTGAAGTGGTGAGGCGCAACTGAGATCAAGTTGGCCCTGTCATAGGTTTGCTAGTAAAATACAAATGCAGAAAAACACAAATTAGTTAATGTAACTCTTGGCACTTCCTCCCCCCACCCCCCTTGCGGCGCGCGACCCCCCCCCCCCCCCCCCATTTGGCAATTTTTGGTTTTTTTGAAGATGGGGATTCGTATGGTATAGTCAGCTTCCCTTTCTTTAAAAGGAGATAGTTTAATACGTTTAGTTAAAACCATCAGGTTCTGCAGCTTTTTGAGTGTTTCCGAGTATTGAGCAATAGTTCTTCTCTTGCTTAGAAAACCTTATTTCAGCATTTCTCTTGTCAAGACAAAATGTGGTAACAGCTGTTTTGTCCTTTGATTGTCACAGAATCATAGAATAGTTTGGGTTGGAAGGGACCTCAAAGATCATCTAGTTCCAACCCCCCTGCCATAGGCAGGGACACCCTCCACTAGACCACATTGCCCAAAGCCCCATCCAACCTGGCCTTGAACACTTCCAGGGAGGGGGCAGCCACAAGTTCTCTGGGCAACCTGTTCCAGTGCCTCACCACCCTCACCATGAAGAATTTCTTTCTAACATCTAATCTAAATGGACCCTCCTTCAGCTTAAACCCATTACCCCTTGTCCTATCACTACACTCCCTGATAAAAAGCCCCTCTCCAGCTTTCGTGTAGGTTCCCCTACAGTGAGTACAGTGACCATCAGTCACAATTTCTCTGGATCTCCTATGGTACTTGGACTATCATATCCCATTTATGATTCACTTACCAGAAGATCAAATGGTGAATGATAAATTATTGATCAAATGTAAGATGAAAGACCAAATTATTCACATCCTTCAATTAACATAAAAGCCCTGGAAGTGAAACAAAAATACGTTGTTCCCAATATACATATCACTTTTCCAAGCATCTACATACTTTCAGAATCCTTTATAAAAGGGAAGCCTCCAAAATTAGCGGCTAGAGCAAAATAATATTGCATAGGAACAATAAGAGCCTAGCACAGATGTGTACTAACAAAGATGTCAGATATCATCCTACACAGCACGTGGCCTTGCAGTCTAATTGAGGTACTAATGAAGGGACTGTAAAATTAGAAATTACATCTATCCAGTTGGTCAGAGCCATCTTATATACTTGGAATCTTACAAAAGGAACATTGTAGTAATTTTAAAATAAGCATGTCCAGTCACTTCTCCTTACAGAAGTTCCATTAGATATAGTGGAATTAATTCAACCACTTCTCAGACCTGCTATCAATGATACAATGATGGTTTGAAAGAGAAGGCTAAGCTTGAAATAAAAAATAAGATAAAATAATTCTTTTCAGCTGGTGAAGCAGAAACTTTGGGAAGTGCAGATAAAGGTTTTTCCTATATATTTTGGCACCATTAAATGGATCATAAGGTACTTGTGTACAGCTGGATCTGAGAGCAAAATAAATAACAACATTGCTTGCTTAGGATTTGACCGCTGAGTAGAAATATACAGCCCTATTTGTGCAAACTGTATGTGGATGATGATTAAAAATATGAAAAGAGGGTAATGATCAGGGTGCGGCATCTTAAATGTGTAATACAAAAAATTCAAATATTTAAAAAAAATCAAACCAGAAAGAAGGGTAAAGTTGCTGTAACAGAAATCACTACTTCAGGGCAAGTTCACTTTTCTTAACAGACTACTTCACATGAACTTCCCATGTAGAGATGAATGTTTCTTGGACATGAAATTATGAAACTTCTTTAACTGTTTTGCAAATTGCTATAATTCCTGTGCTTTCTGCGAATACTACTAGCCTGGCATAATGAGTTTAAGAATAACTATGCAGTAAGCATGCAGCTTTCAAATCTGCCATTAATGAAATGTCTGTCCATCTCATTAATTGCATCTGCTTCAGTGGCTTGCATAAAGATTTTAGTAAGAGGCGAGGATTTTGAACAAAGGTTCAGAGATGTGTGCAAGTGAAGTACTGGAAATCTGATAACATTAAAACAATGGTTAGCTTCAAGAAATGTCCTGAAAGATCACCACTTCAGCAAACGTTCAAGATAACACTGCAATTAATCTTTGTGGTTCAATAGTAAAATCTTTACTGAGATTACTTCACAGTCTTCTTTTTGTCTGTAACTGAATTCCAGAAGCAGATCTCAGTGCATACATATTGACCTTTTCTTAAAGGTATTTCTTTGCATTCCATGAAAGATAGCAATGGTTTGTGAGTTAAATGGTCGTATTAAATCCAGAAATTCAAAATGTAAGGTTCTGGAGAAAAAATGTTCAGCTCATATATCACTCAAGTTACTTCAAGCAATTCAGAATCAAAAAGTAATTTAATTCAGTCCTTAAAGGAAACACAAGTGTCTGGAATATCTGATTTAACTCATTTCCTTGTCTAATACCTACCTCTTTACAGCTTCAACTTTCCCACATCAAAGAAAAGTTCTTGGCATGTGCTGAAGCCCATGATTGAAATGGAAAGAACCTGTACTTCTGAAGAAGGTTCTTAAGTAAAATACTATTTATAGGAGTTTCGGCTAGCTCAAGTTCCAAGGAAGAGAAGCTGCCTCTATCACTCCTTTAATCATCCTTTCTTCAGTCAGATCAGATCAGCCTTAAGTCAGATCAGTTCTCTACAAGCTGTTTTATGCATTGGATTTAGTTAAGGTAGACTTTAGTTATTGTAGAGTTCTTACATAAGTAGCTTGCTTAGCAGGTGAACAGCTGTATGCCTAGTTAGTTCAGATTTCTAGGGATTTAAATGTTTTTATATCCATCTCCCCAGGTTAACCATATAGCATGGTATAATAAAAAGAAATGCATAGAAATGGCATTAGTTAAAGCTGAAGTGAATGCCTGTTTCCCATTACTTCATTCTTCTTCTTGCTGGATTCAGCGAGACAGTGATTGAACAGTGGGAAGCAGAAATACCAGATTAATTTTGGAAACAAAAAATGAGCCTTTTTTTTTCTTTTCTTTACTTCTTTTTCTTTTCCCCTTTTCTTTTGTAGTTTCTTTCAGAAAGAATAAGAGTAGACCAGTATTGGGAGAGCACAGTGAGTGAGGAGAAGCTGCAGAGTTTTAGTACAGTTAAAATAAACTTGGAAAAATTGTGTGTTCTGAATGGTGCAAGACAGCAACATAACTTTTTCAGTTTGCGGTCTTAATGCATGATGCCAGGTGAAGCAAGAGCAACCCAGAACCCATGAAAGTAAAACACCTTATTTATGTGCCCAAAAGTTTAGAAGATTGACTGCTGGGTACCATTTTTCTACATAAATAAAAAATATAAAAAGTAGTATTACATTAAAAAGTGAAAATTAAGAAACTTCAGTAGATCTGCTTTTCAGCTGAATGCCTCTTGAGTGGATTGAATGTTGTGTTGGGATAAAATTGGCAGACTTTTTAAAGAACAAGAGAAGGTAGTGATCATAAAATTCAGATTCTTCATTTAGGTTTGAATTTTAAAAGACAGGGAAGAATATGCTTTGAATTTTGAAATAGATAATAGCTGTATCTATATTGCTCAGTACAACAATTATAGTCTATCATTGGTAAAGACCAGGACAGCTTGGGAAGGGCTCTTGCATTAATAGG